AAAAAAAAAAAAAAAAAACCATTCAATTTTTAAAGTAAGTGCAACTTAAGCCTATAATCCCAGCACTTTGGGAGGAGAAAGTGAGAGGATTGCCTGAGCTCAGGGTTTTGAGACCAGCCTAAGCAACATGGTGAGACCTTGTCTCTACAGTAAATCAGAAAATTAGCTGGGCGTGGTGGCACATGCCTGTGGTACCACATACTTGGAGGACTGGGGCGGAAGGATCACCTAAGTCCACCACGTTGAGGCTGCGGTGGCCGAGAGCGTGCCACCGCACTCCAGTCTGGGCTGGGCGACTCAGTGAGACTCTGACTCAAAAACAAATAAATAAAAAATAAAGTAAGTTATTCAACCAATGAAAACTCCAGCTTTCTTTCTGTACTGATAACTAGCACCTTCCCACCTACTAGCAACTAATAATAGTAGTTTTATTTTTATTTTTATTGGAGTCTCACTGTGGTCCAGGCTGGAGTGCAATGGCACCATCAGAGTTACGACAACCACTACCTCCTGGTGCTCAGGTGATCCTCCCGCCTCAGCCTCCCAAGTATTCTGAGACTACAGTACGTGCCACCACACCCAGTTAATGTTTTGTGAGATTTTTTTTTTTTTTTTAGAGATGAGGTCCTGCCAAGTTGTCCAGGCTGGTCTTGAACCCCTGGGTTTAGACAATCCTTGAACCTCAGCCTCCCAAAGTGCTGGGATTACAGACTTGAGCCACCACACCCAGTTTTTTTTTGTAGAGATGAAGTCTCTGTTGCCCAGGCTGGTCTTGAACTCCTGGGCTTAGGCAATCCTTGCGCCTCAGCCACCTAAAGGGCTGGGATTACAGGCTTGAGCCACCATGCCCGGCTTTTTTGTAGAGATTAAGTCTCTTTTGCCCAGGCTGGTCTTGAACTCTTGGACTCAAGCAATCCTCCTGCCTTCCAAAGTGCTGAGTTCCAGGCATGAGCCACCACACCTGGCCATAATAGTAGTTTTTTAAAGTCTGTTGAGTATTTGCCACATATCAAATTCTGGGTTTAAAGTTCACAGCCATTATTGTTCCCTGTTTTATAGATGTCAAAAGTTTGTATAAAATAAGTTTGGCCGGGAGCAGTGGCTCACACCTGTAATCCTAGCATTTTGGGAGGCAGAGGTGAGAGGACTGCCTGAACCCAAGGATTTGAGATCAGCCTGGGCAACTTGGCAATACCTCATCTCTACAATAAATAAAAAAAAAAAATTAGCCTGTCATGGTGGTACGTGCCTGTAGTTCCAGCTACTTGGAAGGCTGAGGCGGAAGGATTGTCGAACCCAGCAGGTTGAGGCTGCGGTGGCTGTGAGTGTGCCACTGTACTCCAGCCTGGGTGACAGAGTGAGACTCTGACTCAAAAAAAAAAAAAAAAAAGGTTCGATTGTGTAGTAGTACTTCAATGAACAAATTGTTTGAAAAATCCTTCTTTAGATCACTTCATGTCGAGTAGCAATTAGAGAAGTGGAGGATTTTCCTTCATTCAGAAGCTGTGACTGTGGGATTCAAACCTTCCTTTGTCAGATTACAGTCTCTTTTGTCTTATTTTTCCCCACATCTCAATACTTGTCCTAAAATGACAAAGAGGTGACCCTTCCCCAGAATGGTGGCAATAATCTGCTCACAGGGGAGAAACACATGGACAGAGGTAGGAAGTAAATGGGACCTGGGAGTAGAGAAAGAAATGCAGGTAGTGGACCAGATAGGGCCCTAAGGCAGCAAAGAAGAAATTAGGTAAATTGAGGAAATCTGGGAGATCCTGTTAGGGCTTTGATTTATCCATTTTTTACCCTCAGCCCTTAGATGACAGCCAGTGAAGACTTACTGGTTAAGGTTTATACATAAAGTGTGTGATTAAATCGTCTTTCTTTTCTCAGTGTCACTGCTGAGTTTTGAATTCAGTACAATCTGAGGCTTTGACACATCGAAATCTGGGCAAGGTGCAAACTAATTTGTGCATGAATGGACAGAGGGCATGTTGGTTGGGATGATGACTTTTTCTTTTTTTTGTTTTTTTGAGTTGGAGTCTCACTCTGTCACCCAGACTGGAGTGCAGTGGCCACTCCCGGTCACTGCAGCCTCGACCTGCTGGGCTCCGGCTATCCTTCTGTCTCAGTCTTCCAAGTAGCTGGAACTACAGGTGCATGCTACCACGCCCA